TGTCGTGACAACACAACACTAATTATTTTTTACAATTATTAAAACTCGGGCATTAGTAGTTACGAGTGTACAGGGTGGTGCAAAAGTCACTACCACTGCACCTGGTATATTACGAGTGTACAAGGTGGTGCAAAAGTCACAAAACATGCACATATAATATTTTGAACCTACTGTACGTTCAAACTGACGTCCATTTTACCTTCGTTAAGATGTTAGGAAAATATTGATACGGGAGTGAGTTTGTTGTGACGTTTTTACCTGTTACTGTGGATCAGATGTGAGGTGAATATGGTATAGTGTCTCTCTCTCTCTCTCTCTCTCTCTCTCTCTCTCTCTCTCTCTCTCTCTCTCATTCTCTCTCTGCCTTCTCTTCTGTTTCCATCTATCTCCTATCTCGCTTTCCTTCCTTCTCTCCCTCCCTCCCCCCAGCCCTCCCCCTCCCCCTCCCCCCCTCACATAATTAGGCCGAATTTTGGGCAGGTAAACGAGTGGAGAATATTTTGGTGTATTACACAACAGGGGGAACATGACGCAGTACATCACCACTACCCCACCCACTCACTGTCTCCTCCACCCACACCACTGCCCTCCTCCACCCACTACTGCCCTCTCCTCCACCCACTACTGCCCCCTCCTCCACCCACCACTGCCCTCCTCCACCCACTGCTGCCCCCTGCCCCACTCCCATTACTGCTCCCCACCCATTACTGCCCTGACTACTCCCCCTCACCCACTCCACCACTGCTCTTGACAGCCCTCCCCTGTCCCTCTGACAGCCCCCCTACCCAGCATGCCCCCCCCTCCCCCTAACAGCCGGCAATCACCCTGAGAGCAAAGAAGTCAACAGTTGTGAAAAATGAATTGTCAGTAAAATCCCTCTGTTGTGTTCCGTCGCTTGACCTAATGCAATTGTTAGGATGAGTAAGTACTCGGGTTGTGAGGGGTTGGTGTTGTGAGGTGTTGTGAGGGGTTGTGAGGTGTTGTGAGGTGTTGCGAGGCGTTGCGAGTTGTTGCGAGGCGTTGCGAGTTGTTGTGAGGTGTTGCGAGGTGTTGTGAGGTGTTAGTCTGGCTTGTGAGGCGTTGTGAGGTGTTGCGAGTTGTTGTGAAGTGTTGCGAGTTGCTGTGAGGTGTTGCGAGTTATTGCTTGTTTAATAAATTTCTTTTTGTAAGTTATTGTGTTGTTTGTTATAAGTTCTTGTATAACTTATAACTTCTTGTTCTTGTTGTAAGTTGTTGTTTGTGTTATAACTTTGTGTTTGTGGACTGTTGTAAAATATTTGTTAATTAAAAAAGTTGGGAACACGTAACATACAGTACGTGTGTGTGTGTGTGTGTGTGTGTGTGTGTGTGTGTGTGTGTGTGTGTGTGTGTAATGGATGACAGACACGTACTTACACACACAAAAGTTATAAACACACAGAGAGACACAACTTAACCCGTGTATATCATAATTAACCAAGGAATAAAAAAGTAAAACAATTCCCTAAGTAACAAAAACTTTAAAAAGCTAAAAAAAAAGTTTAGACAATGAGTGAAATTATTAACGAAACAATTTGGAAAAGTAGAAATTATTACAGGGAACGAAACCTGATATAGTGAATATTACATAACAAGGACTACAGACGTAAAACCTTTTAAATTTATATAAAAAACTGACGAATATAAATAAAAGCAAAAAATTATTAAAAAAGGAGATGTCAAGTGAAGAGAAGAATAATTGACGTAACTAAATTAAGCAAAACAATAAAAATGAATAAAAAACAATTAAAAAATTGGCGCAATTTTTCCCGCCAAAATGAATAAATAAACCCGGGTTGTCAGACAGTGTAAATATAAACAAACAGACGCTTAAACTTTAATAACAAATCTAGTTCATTAATATATATATACTGTGTATATATATATGTATATATATATATATATATATATATATATATATATATATATATATATAGGCTTTAGATGGTGTGTGTGTGTGTCCATGTGCTTATATGTATGTATATGCATGTGTGTGTATGTATGTGTTATGTATGTATGACAGCGAGAATACAATCAGCTGTTAGTGTGGAAACAAATCCCATCACTTGGCTGTGGAGGAGGAAAATTAATTAAGTTTCCCCATAAAATGTTGTATATTAAAGAAAATGGGAAACCGTTTGACATAAATAGATTTTGAGAGTTATTCCGTCATCGTGATGAATATAGAAATAAACGAGATGATATAGAAATGGATATTGAGAGGTGGAGGTGACGTTTGAGAACTATATTGACGGTTGAAAGGGGAAATTAATATACAAAATATAGAAAATGAGAAATGACATTTAATATTTTGTCTTCTCGGTTGACTAGACATATGAAATAGAGATTGAATGAAATATATATCTTAATTTCATGAGTATGTATGTATGTATGTATGTATGTATGTATGTATGTATGTATGTATGTATGTATGCATGTATGTATGTATGTATGTAGAATGATTTATTTGATTTTAGTGAGA